CGAGACATAATTTAGATGTTGCTCTTTTGAAATTATGATTAATGTCTAAGCAAACATGAGCTGCCCCTAAGACCGCAACAACAACAACAACAAGAGCAACGCTGAGCACATCTGCATGACATTTTTGTTTTTGGTGTAGAAACAACAGCAACTCATTTGAGGAACGTGCGCCCCACATCCTACAGCATTCGAGTGAGATTAATGCGGTGAGGAAAATCATAAATTAATTAGAAATTCAAGTTGTTGTTGCCTGGAAAAACTCTGCTTCTCGCCTTCGCTCTGTCTCGCTCAGACACTTATTAGTGGCATTTAGTGGCAATTTATTGTGGAAAGTGTTGTCTTCATGTAGCACACAGACACTCACACACACGCACACACTAACACTCATAACTTATACAGGTGTTGTCACAGCAATGCTTAATTAGCTTTTATTATTAGCTACGATGTGGCAACTAAATGCAAATGCTATCAACTACAAAGCGTTCCCAGTCCCCACTCGTTCTCCCAAAAACAAGTTTCCTCGTTCTCTCTCGCTCAACTATTTCCTGTGCCCTTAAATTGCTCCAGTTGTTGTTGTTTTAGTTGCTGTTGGCGCCTATTGCTGGCGTTTAGGCGCAATTAGCGAACGCCTTCAGGCGCCAGCTAGTAAATAAAAATGTCTACTGTGGCATGTGTAGGTGAGAGTGTCTGGGCATTAGCTGTAGCCTTGGCTACGGTTGGGGGCATTCCAAATTGTCGTCAGAGTGTCGCGACTGTCGCATCCTGCCATTTAACCAGCCGCCAAGCCACAAGGCATGTAGTCCTGTCAAAAGTTGGAAAATGAAACCACAGACTTTGTGTACTTAATTAGTTATTAATAACTATTCAATCAATTATTTTAAATAATATTCAATTTTGTATATAAAGATATACAAAAAAAAATATATTTATATTTATATATAAATATTATTAAATGTATATACTTTACGTAGGATCACAGTTGCTGTACTCATCGTATTATCACATATGTACATATATGATATTATCACCTAAGTATTTCTTGCTTTGCTGCTCATTTGGAAATATTTGTTGCATACTTTTGTGCTGCGCAAATAATTGACTGCCTGTCATAGGTCATATTCTGTGCTAAGATCTAATTTAATCGCGACAATATCGATAACATTTCTTTGTTTTAGTCATAATATTGACTGAAACTCATTTATTCATTTGCCAAATATCCATTCTTAAATATACCAACATCACCAAGACTCGAACCAAGATCTCCTACTCTACTACACCGCCACTTCAGAATTTGTATTGGATCAGAGTATAAAAGAATTCAAAAATACTTACTTTTTGTAATTTTTGAATAAGATTAATTAATTTATTTAAATTTTAATGTTTTTTTCGATTCTTTTATTCAAATTATTCCGATCATTTTATACAAGCTGTCACAACTATATAAAATTTCATTGCATACTCTCGGGCTGTTTGTTTAAATAACCACCCTGCCTAAGTGTCAGCCAGTAAATTTTTACATATCATAGCGCTATCAACGGACAGATTCGATTAAAAATCTTTGCACTCACAAGTTTAATGTCTTTGAATAATAGGAAAATGTGTGGATTATGTTAATATAGTTGGACATCAATGTGAAAAACAGAATCGCAATTTATTTATTTGATGAGTGTATGATATTTGTGAATTTATTTTTATTTCAGTTAGAGAGAACGTGTTGAGGTCAGCCGCGCGACGAGAATTGTTTATGCAATTGAGATTGAAATAAATACAAAAACGCACTGTGGCTGCTAATAGAGCTGGCTATATTAATAAGTTGACTCTGCGGAAATTTCTACGCACCCCTTTTTTTCAATATTGTTTATGTTGAAGTTGAATTTGATTGTTATTCTTAACTATTGTACTTGAAGATAAATGCAAAGCCCTCGCGCAGCAACCTTTGTTCGAGTGCCGGAAGTGAATTTCATGTATGTTGTGCATACGTCATGTGAACAATCGCAGTCCAATTTCTCATTGCCTGTCGCCGTCGTCGCATTTGCTGAGCAGCCGAAAGGCCTTTTCGTAGACTTGTTGAATGACGGTCAAGGTTGGCGCTTGCCAAAAGCACTTGCCACACGGCACGTTCTACGAGCGAGCAGCCCGCAGCGTTTCATTGAAACGCATCGCTTTGAGACATTTTTAGCCGGCTCAAGGATAACGCAGTGTGCCAAAAAGCGAGACGCATGTCAAGGCCAGCGTCAAGATTCGCCACAACTAGCAGCTCAACAGCTCAACAGCTCAATTTTAGTTGCCTATGACAGCTCAGCCAGCACAGGGGCACACAGTTCAATGCACAGCAATTCCCAGTCGAGAATTGAATTGAATAGGGTTATGTCATCGAGTTATCGGCAGCGCTGTTTGTTGGCCTCAGCTCCCCATATCGTTTTAATTTACAACGTTTATAAATAAGGCGTGGAATGCGCCTCATACAATCCATTTGGGCATGAACCCTGCATTACATTTAATTAATTGGCAGTTCTGTTCTGATCACATCAGAATCTCTACCTGAACCGGTTGCTCATTCAGCTTTCATTTTCGAAAGTTCCTGTTTTTGCAAGCACAATTAGCATTGAATTGCGTTCGAGCTGCTAAATTTAGTGACCACACTTAAATGTACCTTAGCCGGAAGTTATATGCCTATGAGATTATATATATATCAAGCAAAGCTTATCTTCAATTAGCTGCCTCAGTTCGTGCTTGCCCCAAGCTGTTGCACAGCCGCACAAATTGCATGTGTTTGGGGAGTCGGTCCACATCTCGAGATTAAAGCACATTAATATTATGCAAGCTGCACGCACAGCTTCCCATAGTTACACACACACACTCACACACACATACATAATCTATACATTCATTGCAAATTTGTAGCCATGAAGCTGGAGCCCAGCTCCTTTGCCCACGCTTTGAGAAATGTGCGACAATTAGTTCAGCGCTAAAAAAAACGGGTTTTACAGTTCGGCTTTGGCTTCACATTGTTCGAGTGGGCGGCGCAATGCGTGCGCAACTCAAGCAACAAAAAAATATCAAAAATAAAATACGAAAAATATTGAAATATTTTAATAATAAAGTAAAAAAAACAAAGCAAAAATATATAAAACATGCGAATACCTTGGAACCACAAAAAAATCGCACACGCACGGCCAAAGATTAAGATACCGATTGGCGAAGTTTGAGTACTTCAGCTGCAGCTTAAAACAAGTACATGCTGTGCAGCTGCAGCTAACCCGACTGCATGATGCCCCGTATTTAGACGCAGAGGAAACCCGCTTCACCGAGAAGTTTGTGGAAGCTTAGATGGAATTTATATAGCAGAAACTTGCTCAAAAGAAGTTGTAGAGAGAAGAAGGAGGCGGAAGAGGGCGTAGCCAAGGAACAGAGGAAACAATTCAAGCTCATAAATAGGTACCAAGTCTAATGGCGAAATGGAGTGCTTCTCTAAGAATTGAGTTAGTCCAAAATTGAGATAAGCCAATATACCCGCTTGGCATGAGCAAACAGCGTATACAGACAGCAACAAAAGCAACCGCAAGCAAATACCAATAGCGGGGCAACAATGCTAACGGCCGCTTTATGAACAATTACGATCGCCTGAGCCGCAGGCGGGCAGTCCGAAAGGTTTGTGCTGAGGAGACGGAGAGGGCGGGGGCGTAGGAGGCGATAGGTACTTGGACTTGGCGTTGCATGCGTCACGCGCTCACAGACCTAGCGTGGATCGTGTGTCACAGTGCTGTGTGTACATATATGAGAAACTCATAAATGCGCATTTGTGTATCGATAATCAAATTCGCATTCAAAGTTTCGATCATGAAATATATTTAATTTCGCTTTCACATAGCCACATACGTATATCTGCAACTGGAAGCTGTGACTGTGTCTGTAGCGGTAGCTGTATCTGTATCTATATGTCTCTATGTATCTATGTGTCTATGTGACCTAGTTACCTTCGCCTCGAACGGTTCTCGAGTGGCGATGCTGGAGCTGTGAATTATTTGCTTTCAATTTGCCAATTGCGCAATCTCTCACATAGACAATGAGTCGACAGCTTTTTGCAGCTAGGGCCGGGCCTTGTGGAAGACTCTTTCAAGTTCAGCATGGAAAATATACAAATAAAATGAAATAAAAATACAAATATATATTCTGTTTAATAATAATATATTTGCAAAGGTTTACAATAGGTTTTTGACACACATATATATAAATGTTTTTATACATTATTTAATAGTTTATTTAATTGGCACTTAATTTAATGCATAAATCTGTGATTTATGTCTGCACAAAAGAAAACTAAAAGCTAAAAATGAAAAATATTTTTATTCTCTCCTGTATTAAACCGTTTTGCTGTTTCCCTTTGCAAGGACAACCAAGTTTCTTAAGCCTACAATTTTATTCTCTAGTTAAAATATTGTGTGAAAATCAAGAAAAAATTAACAAAAAATAAACGGAAAATTCCAATAAAAAATTATAATAAAATTTAGTTAAAATTTGAAAATATGGCATTTCTGTTGCTGCTCTCTGCATAAACAAATTCTAAGCTAAAAACCTGAGACTCTAATTTATTTTTTGCTGTATAAAGACTTGATAGACTTAGTTTTCTTTTATAAATACTTTTAACTATGGCCGCATTAGTTAAGTAAAAAAAATATATCTATATTTTATATTTAATTTAGGGAAATTCTAATGCGAATTCGATCTTTGCCAATTTGAAAACTTTTAAGTAAAAATGTATATAGCTTAATTTAAACTGCATAACAACTAAACCTAATATATAGTTAATTTTCTTTATAAGATTTTTTATCATGCTTCATTATTAGTATATAGAAATTTAACTTTAAAAATCATTGTTATAATAACTAATTCGAACATGTAGAAAGTTTTCCTTTTAATAATTTTTTTCACTTCAAAATTTCAAAATTTTGCTTAACTCTAAGTAAGTAAAGTTTAGGCTAACATTTAATTACTGGCAGTGATTATATATTATTAAGTTGGAAGTATATGCACAGTGGAGCAAGAGTGCAGGAGAAATGCCACATTTTCTGCATTCGAACCAAATTCAACTTAAGAGCTACAAAATTCGTTAGATTATTATTGTTATTATATGTTATAAGTATGTGGGCTAGGGGGCATGGTCATGGCTTGGTCGTGGTTCTGGTTGTTCGTGGACAGTTGGACAGTTGGACAGCAATCACAGTGTACAGCCATTGAATAATTTCACAAAATTGTTGTAACAAAATAGAAACAATAGATTACCCACTAAAATTAGTTAACAAATTGAACGCAGAGTCTAGTTCACTGGCGACACGGTCTGTCCGAACTTACGGGCTCGCTGACCGAAGCCCTTGCTGCCATCTGGCCCGATGGGCGTGCGTACCAGACTCTCGGCGGCCCGCTGGGCAAAGGAACCGGAACGCGAACGTGGCGAGCCGTCCAAGAAGCTGCCCGTGCGCGAACGTGGCTGACCATCGTAGTCGCCGCCATGCTTGTAGTTGCTGAGGAAGCTGCCGGTGCGGGAGCGCGGCGAACCCTCAAAGCCCTCGGAGCCAAAGGAGCACCGGCGATCGTAGCCGGAGTCTGTGGAGATGCGCCGTCCGCCTATATACTGGGCATTGTCATAGGCGGCCAGCTTGCTGTTCAGCTGCTGGAAATTGTTGGAGTAGCGACGCGGCCATACCTGATAGCCACCACCTCCGCCGCCCACCAGCTGATCCGGCTCTCGCTCGCGCTCCACATTGAAGTCATTCGAGGGACGACGATAGAAGCCGTTGCCATCGCTGGCATTGGAGAAGCTGCGCTCGAACTGCATGGAGCCATTCGAGTAGCGCCGCTCGCCATTGCCCGGGCAGCTGCCATTGGAGCAGACGGAGCTCTTGCGATAAGCATCCGACTGGCCGAAGTCGGAGACACGCCTGGAACAGGGACAGCTCTCCGAGCAATTGGAATCGCGACGCTGCGGTGCGCCCGTCTCCGAGCAGTTGCTGGCGCGTCGCGACATGGACAGCGCCTGAGTAGCATCTGGACCATAATTCTGCTCCGAGCAGTTCGACAGACGACGCTGCAGGCTGCTAATAGGCACAGCATTAACATTGCTGCTGCTGTTGCTGTTGCTGTTGCTGTTGTTGTTCGCGACGACAGCAGCAGGCGGCGACGAGGGCTCGACCAAGCCAGCTGCCGCTGTGCTGGCAGATATGGTGGACGTATTGCTGTAGCGCCTGGGCACATACCCGAAAAAACCAGGTGATGTGGGCGACTGTTGCTGCTGCTGCTGCGCTGGCTCCATATTAATGCTGCCACGTGGCTGATAGTGCTGATAGCCATGGCCATGGCCATGATAGATGGGATGATGCATGGGCTGTTGCTGCTGGTAGTAGCTCGGCTGGAAGTCCGAGTTGTTGCGCTTGAGCTTGAAGCGCAGATCGTGCATGGACAGCTCATGGCTGGGCATGCCTGAGAAGCTGCCGCCGCGTGTCCTCTCGCAGTTGGCATCGCTGTAGTAGCGATAGTTCTCCACCATGCGAGCAACGGGTGCGGCGATCTGAATGACAGCTGCCTTCTTGCCCGTCTTCTTCTTGGGAGCGACCATCTCGTACACCTGGAAGGGACCAGTCAGATGCAGTGCCTCGCGGGCCGACGACGACTCCAGATACTCAACCAGAGCGCACTCCTTCTGCTGCAGCTCCGGATATTTGTTCATGAACTGGCGCACATCCACGGGTATGGCCATGCCCGGCTTGAGAATGCGAATCAGAGCGATCTCGCCACACTTGGAGAACAGGTCGGAGACCTTCTCGATGCTCAGCTTGTCCAGCGGCAGATCGCAGGCGACAATGGTGCGCGAGGGCATTGTCTCATCGAAGCTGGGCAATGGCTCCAGGCGTCGCACCTTGGTGCCCTGTTCGTTCAGCTCGATTTTGCGAGACATGCGACGCACTGCATCGCCCACCACCTTCCATTCGCGCGTTAGCTGACGCACGCGCTTGAAGCTGGACACCAGCTTCAGGCTGACGAAGCCTTCCTTGTTGCGGCGCACATGCTTGAGCAGAAAGGCATCCTTCAGTATGCTCTCATTGGAGAAGTAAAACTCCACAGCATCCGCAATCTCTGCAGCCAGCTCATCGCTGGGCACCAGGCTTGGCTCCAGCGTATCTATCTCATTCGGCTCCACTGGCTGAGGCTGCTGCTGCTGCTGCTGCTGCAGCTGCTCTGGCTGCTGCTCCGGCTCCTGCTCAGATGTCTTTTTTATGCTGAGGAACGAGCGATGCACGCGTCTGGTCTCCATCACAGGCGAATTGGCTGGCGCAACGGCTGGTGGCGGCGATGCATCCAAGTTGAAATTGGGATGCAAATAGATGTTGTCCATCTGATGCTTTCGGAACTTCTCCAAGTTGGCCTCACTGAGCGGCACGGCTGGCGGCGATGCGGCCTGACCTTCCACTAGCTCTGGGTCAGGTATAATATGATTGTCCACGGCTAGCGGCTTAAGCTCGTCATCCTCCTCAGATTCCTCGGAGTCACCGATGGACGAGCCCATGCCCACGTCCAGCAGCTTATCATCGCTGGCCGGCGACATGGGCGGCGCACTTGGACTGCTTGTTGGTGCATCCTCGGAGCCGGAGCCGAATTGCGAGTCCAGCGATTCCATTTGATGCAGCAGCGCCTGAGCCGAGCGTTTGGCATGGAGACGCAGCAGCTTCGATGGCAGCGACGAGGACAGCGGCACCACAGCTTGCGAGCTGCAGCAGGGCTGCTCCTCGTCCTCCAGCTCAATCAGCTGACTCATGGGCGGCGCCGTGGGCTTCATGACCGGCACAGCTGTTAGTATGGGTGTTGCGGTCACAGGACTAACGACAAAGGTGTGTCCCTGCGGCACCTTGACCTCATAGCTGCTGGCCGCCTGATCCTGTTCGCTCATTCTTGATGATTTCTACTTTTTATATTTATAATTGGGCTAATGCTCTGAGCACTGGGCACTCCAGCAAAAGCAGCTGTAAATAGCTATTACAACTGTTACCACAATTGTATCTCTAGCTGTGTCTGTGTCTGTGTCTGTGTCTGTATCTGTATCTGTATCTGTGCCTGTGTCTGTATCTGTATCTCTATCTGCAGCTTTAGCTGTTGCTGTATCTGTAACTGTTTTGTATGCGTCTATCTCTTTTGAGTTTGTCTGCTTCAAATTTCACTTTCACTTTCAAGTTCAGCTCGCCAACGCTGTGCACTTACATTTGGCAGTCACTGTCTGCATTTACGCTCAGCTCAGGGCGTTCATTGAACGTCAGCTGTTTAAAGCTGTTGTTGTTGAGTTTGTTTTTTGCGTAATTCTGCAGCCTGGTTGGAAACGTGCTTGGAATTCTCTGACTGTATTTGGCTATAATTTTAGATATACAAATACATATATATATAGTTTATATATAGGTAAAGAGGGGCTGATTGTTTTGTTTTCTAGGCCGCGCTTGACACCGACACCATTTGATAGTCGTTAAAAAACGGCACCGCAACACTTTCTTGTTGTTGTTGTTGTTGCTTTTGGTTTAACAATTTCGTATGCAATTGGGTTTTTTTATGAAACATTTGTTTTTGTATATTTGATTTGTTATTATTATTCCGTTTTCTTTCAGTTGTTGCCCGTGCGAGTTTCTTAATTATTTCCGTTTGACTTGAGGGTGTATGCCAAGTGCTTGCTGTTGTTGTTGTAGTTGTAAATGTTGTTGTTAATATATATTTGTAATATAAATATGTTGATCCGTTTACGTACGCGAGTTCATGCAACGCTGCAACGCGGAGATAGACTGAAATTGCAAATTGATTTGAGGTCGGTTAAATACCCTCTGCTTTCGTTTAATTTTGTATTTTTTTTCAGTTTTGTATTTTTGTTGCTGTTGTGTTTACAGCGACTGCCGGCGGCAGCGACGCCAACAGCAGCAGCAGCAGCGACAGCCGCGTCGAGCGTTATTGAGCGGTCCAAGTACGCACGAAACAGCCGATAACAACAACAGCAACGGGGAGAGACAGCTGCGCTGACTGCGCTGCCCGCGGCGACAACTTATTGGCAACTGAGCAACACAGCAACAGCAACAGCAGCAGCCGCACACGAAACTTGTTGCGTTGGCAACAACAGCAACAACATTTGCTTGTTGCATTTGTCGTTGTTGTAGCTTTTGAATTTTATCTCTTATAAATTGTTCTGGCAAGATACAGCTACAACAACAGCAACAACAGCAACACACACACACTGCGAGGTGCTTCCGATTTATTTATTTTGCAAATTTTAATTTTTTTTCTTTCGCAGGCAGTTTGCATTGAGGCAGAGCGAACGATCGCGCAATGCTCGTTCGCATTGCTCATACGCAGCGTTCACCGACAATTTGGAAAGTGCTTCAGTTGATTTTATTTAGCTCTCACATTGAGTGCCATTGTTGTTGTTGTTGCTGTTGCGTCGATTGGCGACCTTGTTGCATCCAATTTGCAGTCGAAACAAATTGCAATGCTGCATGCAAGTCCAGCATTCGAAAAAAAAAATTATCTATGGGGAAGCAGGAAGCAATACGAAATGACAATTCGTTGAGGGTTAGCAAATGAACGAGCGAACACTAATGGAGTATCTGCTAGTAGAGTCTAGATGCCTTCTCAAAAGAAATTCCGACTATGGGCAGGAAGCTCTGCCCCAACTTGTTAGGGAAATGTCTACGAATATTAAATGTATTCTATTCCATTTTCCATTTAACTCTTCAAAGTCCAATTGTTTAAAGCAATTGTCTGTTTTGATGTTTGCTTAGCTGCACAATTACATGCCCACTAATTTAATTTAATTTATAAAAGCTGTATTTATTTTTAATAAAATATCATTTCTGCTTGTTGCTGCATATTCACATACTTTTTTTTAAATATATCTCAAATTACATTCATTTTAATAAATAATTAAGCGTTTCCTATTAAGCACTATAATTAACTATTTTATTAATTGTCTTTATGCAAGCGTTTTAGGCCCGAAGCTCTTAAAGCGATCTCAGTATGAAGTTATGTCAGCTACGTTGATTAAATTCCCACATCGTATTGAGATCTTCCGAACTACGACAGTCATGTGATATCCAGAAAACAAATTCATTAACAAAATAAAGCTTGTCTTATGAGATTCATAAAACAAATTTACAGACTCCTCTAAACTCCACCAGACTCCTTCAGACATCACCAAACTCTACTAACCAAACTACCACTAAACAAACCACCAGACTCCACTAGACTCTACTAGACTCCACCAGAGTCATACAGACTAGTACAGACTAGTACAGACTCCTCCAGACTCTACCAAACGCCACCATACACATCCAGACTCCACCAGACTCCTCCCTACTCCTCCAGACTTCTCTATAATCCTCCACAATCCTACAGACTACGTCAGCCTCCTTCAGAATTCTCCAGATATTGCAATACTCTATCTTTCTCTACTTTTTGCACAGTCACGCAAAGTATTCCAAAGTCTATGCTTAACATTTTCCAAAAGTTACGTTTTTAATCCATCTCCAAGTAGCTTCAGTTAAACAAATTTATTTGAATACAAATCTAAAATCTAATTTAATTATTCGTTAATGATAAATGATAATGATAAAAGCTGCTACACATTTGTCATCTGTCATCAGCCATCATCAGTAAAATTCAGCTCGTTTTCGCGTTAGTTTTCTGCTTTCACACAAATCGGATTTAGCGACAAGGTCGACAATTTGTTTAACTATTTGCGCTTTTAGATATTTGTACAGCTGGCAATTGGCAGTAGTTTAACGATTTCTTGATTTTATTAGCTGGATTCCCGTTAACTCATTTCAGGCCAGCTGGCCCCGTTTTGCAATTGGCTGGCCAAGTGCAAGTTCAAGTGCAAATGTCAACGAGAGGCGCCTCGGCTGGGGCGTTTTTCTGTTGTGCTGCCATAACGTAACTTTCTGCCACTATTGCATTATAATCCCTTTAGTTGGCCTTTGCGGAACGTTGCATCAGCTGCCTCGCTTGGCGTTTTGTTTACCATATTCAATGAGCCGATCAAATTATACAATCTCAAAGTGCTGCAAGCATTTGCAATCCAATTACGCATACTAGCAATGTGTGCGTGTAGCTAGAACTCTCGCTTACTCAATTTGGGCTAATGGGGCGTATGCTTGATATTTGTTTACTTGTTTTTTCTGCTACCTGTTCGATAAGGTCAGCTGTCCATTAATTGGCAATTGACGACAGGCATTTGCGGCCCATTTGATTTCGAGTAGTCATACATTTTGATTTGCCAACAAGTAAATTATGATTATTTTTCAAAGCAACAACAGCAACAACTACAACAAATACAAAAGGCAAACTTAACCTTGCGGTAAAAGACACAACAACCACAAAATATAAATTCAAGTATTTCTCTCGGCTCGACAGAAACAAAACAAATGATTTATTTATTTGGAAAAAATATGATTTTTTTCTTTGGTAATTTGTTGCTTGTCGCACAGCCTCCAAATATGAAAAAAGGGCGTGTCAATCAAAAGACAGATTAATCTGCAATTTGGCCAAATCTAACCAGGAAGTTGCCAAAGAGTTTCTTTCTCGTTTCATTGAGCTAAGTCGCAGCTAGTTAAAGCCCGGTTTTTTTGTGGCCTAGACAGTTGGCTGGGATGGATGTAAGAGTAAGATTTAATTGGAAGTGCCAACTAGCAGATACCACGTGAAGAGCTGACTGTCAATTGTATAGACATAGGCGATCAGCCTAAGACTTTTATTTGATAGGAGTTTGAGCAATTGTCGCAAATTGACAATGTGAAATATCGATATTTATCGATGAGAAAATATGATGATTTTGTATTACGTTTTCCAAACAAGAATATATATGTATTGTATCAAGGCTTTAAACATACAGACTTAAGAACAGGCGAACAGGCAGACACTTAGACATGGCTAAGTCGACTGTTAATCCTGATCAAGCATATACATATATATAAAATATATGTCTTATTTCACCTCTTTCATACTTAGGCACAAACACATAATACCCCATTTAATTATACACATTTTCAATGGGCATATTTATCAATTGGGTCTAAAAGGCACTTTTAGCTGCATTGTGTTGGCCATGTTTGTTTGTTTGTTGTTGTTCACGCATTTATTTGCTTTTATGAAACGTTTATTTACTTTTTTGCACACACATTGAGCTGTGGTTGTTGTTGTTGCCCACACTCTTTGGAGCTGCTGTGGCCCAGGGTCGTCCAGGCTGTCGATCTGCTTATGATCAGCAGTTGAAGCATTATAATTATTACTTATGGCTGTTATTGTTGTTAATGTGTGTTGTTGTTGCAGCTGCTTTACACTCTAATTTGTTTGTTGTATTTGAGTTTGTCCTTCTGTTGACATTTTGCACGCGTTTTACTTTATTTCGGCAATTGTTCGCCTGAGCCTACGCAAAAGCGTAGCGAATCAAAGCAAAGCAAATCGAATCGCATTGACTACATTGAGGTAGGTGGCAGCTGTAGCTCTTTTAATACAATATAATTTAAAAGTAATTTAAACGCAAGCTCTGTGCATTTAGGAAAGACCCAGTGATGATTAAGAAAGCTAACGCAAATGTAAACAACGAATTGTTGTAAGCCACAAAAAAAAGGCAATAAAAAATGTGTAAAGGACATCGAACTGCCGAAAAGTATTTGATTGCACAGCTTCGTGTGTAAACCAGTTTTTTTTATGCATAAGTTTGTTGTCTTCAAAATAAAATATAAATATAATATATTTATAAAAATAATTGACAGACTGCATGACTGAGAGCTTACTGAAGAACAGGTAAAGATGTGTAGAAGCCCACGTGGATGTTAATAAGATAAAGAGCGCTTGCATATGAAATTTTGAGCTAAGCTGCAAGCTTATAGTTGAGGTAGATGTATGTAACTATAAATTAAATTATACATAAATATATTATATAAATTAATAAATATTGCAATAAATTAATAAATTGCATATAATATTATATATAATTATAATTCAATTTCAACAGCCCAAACTTAACTTGTAAACCTCGCTTTTTAGCCAACTCGTTATTTCTTTAACAAATATTTTATAAATTAAAATTATTTTCTGTTTTATTATTGCGCCTTGTTAAGTGAAAATATGCAATTTTTACATTATGTATACAAAAATCTGTGGTTTATTAAGTACAATTGCCAAAATTCCTAAACATGTTTCAATTTCTAGTAAATTCCAATTCTGAATGAAAATTAGTTCAGCAGCCTTGCTTATGCATATATTATTAAGGCAGCAGCTCAGTTTTGATAAGCTGATTCTTTATTATGTATTCCAGCTATGCGCCGCATAAGCCTTTGTATTTTTGTCATATAACTAACTTACATAATTTATGGTTAGAGTATCACTCACTTAACATACGTTGTCTATGCCGTAATATGTGAATCACCTCATTGGATTGCATGACAGTTGTTGCCGACGCGTCGAGAGACAATGGCTAGGCCCAAAAGCCACAAAGAAAACATGGAATTAAATAATATAAATAATGATAATGATAATGTAATGTATTATATATATCTATATATATATAATAAACGAAAAATTACGCTATTCACCTCAAGTTCAATGTTAAAGGCGGTGAAACGTGGAAGCGCAGTTGTTGCTATTGTTATGAAAGCTGCGCTTAAAATTAACGTTAACAAATTTGAAAAGGGTAAGTCCCTTTAGATTATGCGATTTATGATGGTTAAATTAATGTGTAGTCGTTGCGAATTGAAAGCTAGCCTGGCTAAAAAGAAAAGAAAAACTGGGTCAACAGGCACTTGGCAGTGGTTACATAAGCCAGAACCTTCTGGACCGGTTCAGTGGAGAGGACACCAGCCAAGGGCAATGCAACCTTGATGGCCCGATAGGCCTACCTTTTGTCTGGCCGCAAGTTGCAATCACCACCTGCATTAAGCCAAGCGACTAAGCTGCCAACTGTGAACCGGTTGCCCCCAACAAGTTGCAAGTGCCACAACGGACGGCAACGAGCCCAAGTTTCGGCACTTCATTAATGAAGCTCAGACAAGCCACAGCCTTGACAGACCCCAAAAAGAAAAAAGACTACAAAATTTATTGCATTGTAATCAGAAAGCGCGCACTGGCCGGGCCAGGAAGCCGCAGATTGATCCGAGTGCGTGGAACAGGTTGTCCGGCTCCCTCTTTGGGTTAACTGACTGCAGTTGACCTCCACAATTGGCGTTACATATTTCTCTCTGTTTTTTTTTTCGCATATTTTAGTTTATTTACCGAACGCACGCTTTTTAATTAAAAACTTCGCTGTTCAATTATGTTGAAAAATTGCAAGTGCAACGCCTCGCTCTTCCTCTCCCTTTCCCTCTCTCGCTCTCTTTTGCGTTCTGCGACAGAATTGGGTTACATGTGTCAAGCGGGCAGCCCCATAAAACACGCTTTGGGCCTATGTAGAACTGGGCCCGGCCAACTTCAAAATTGTTGTGCAATTAAAATCACATTTTGAGCCCGCAAACGTTTTTGTGAATGGCTTCACACAGAGACGACTGAACGACTGCGAACTCGATGTTTGGTGCGTGCCGCACTGTCCGGGCGGGCGGGTGTGTGTGCATGTGTGTGTGTGAGTGTGGGTTGGTCGTGGTATGTGCAAAATGTTATGGCCATAACGAAAGACATGGCAATAATGTAAAGCACATTTCAAGCACTTTAAACTCTTAACATTTATGGGCTGACAGTTGTTATTTTTTTTTGCTTTTGAATAAAACTGTTACCGAATTGCGTAATCGCACAATGCGGCTGCCAGCCAGTGCTGCCACACACCGTGGTGCGTGCGTAAAGAAAAGTGCTGCCAATTTGAAATATTTGAGTAGCTTTACTTGAATTTCAATTTATAAATAAATTGTGAACAATTTCTGTGCTCCCGCACTCTGTGGAGTGTATTTGTATTATTAAAGTTTTTTAAGTTGAATCTGTAATATTCTAAGAAAAACTGTTTCTGTGCTGCCACACACAGTTGCTTGCAGTAAAAAGTGCTGCCCATTTTCGAATGCGCTTAAAGCACTTCAAGAAATAAATAAACATTTAATTTATAATCACTTACTCAGTTATGCCTAGCAATGCTTGAGTACAGTTAGCCAGCTCTAATTGCTTTGTTAAAGTCAGAATTTATTTATGCATTAATTAAATTCAATTCGCATTAAACAATTGTTAAATTGCTCAATTAAGCTATTTATATTCGAAATGCCAGCGAAGTTTCCTAGCGAAATAAACATAAACAATTTCTAAGCAACGGCAATTGTTGGCAGACAATAAATAAATGACAAAAGGACAAGTTCAATGTTAGTTAAAAACGCATAATTAAATTAAAGCTTCATAAACTTAATAGGTTTGCTTAAGATAAGCTTTATTATAATCATATATATAGGCATCGCCTTTAGATTTGCATTGTCCGTTTCTATTGCGTGACACATGCGACATGCCACATGCATAGGCTAAGCAACTGTTGTTGCTGCTGTTGTTGCATCGTGATTAATCTGCATATGCATAGAAGCAGCCCGTGCGGCCTTCTAAAAATCGCGACATTAAATTATGCGCCTAGGCCTATTATTTTATGCAATTGATAAATTGACAAAACGGACCGGCGTAACATGCCGCTCACTTTTTCATACAATGCAACATTGTTGTTGTTGCAGCTACTACTACTGCTGCTGTTGCTGCTGCTGCTGCTGCTGCTGTTTTCAGTGAAAATCCGCTCACAATGCGTGCCAAGTTTGTCAGCCAACACGCTCTCAACTTTCATACGTGAACTTTTCATTGTTGTTGTTGTTGTTTTTAATATTAGTATTGCTGTTGTTGCTGCTGTTTGTCTGTCTGTCATTCATTTTCAATGTCAAGGTTGCAATTGTGTGCATTTGTAATTAAAATGTTTATAATGTATTTATTGACTTTCAATTAGCTGTAGAAGCAAAGCATCCTTGTAGACAAAATATACAGAGAAACATAGTATAGGTGTGAATGTCTCTGTTCTTTAGTTGATAAAAGAACAAGTGAAATTTCATTAGCAAAAAAACTAAAATAAAATAAAATACAAAAATGAAAAAGAAAAAATTAAACTAAAATATATTGAAGGCAATTTGTCGACGTTGTCAAGTTGCACTTGCCAATAATAAATTCTATTCGCAATAAGTTTTTTGCAGATATATGCATGCATACACACGTAAACATATATATATATATATATATAAAACATTGAACCCGCGTTGCAATTTGACAAATTGCAAGCAATATTCAAATTGGGACTTTGTGTCGTATTTTTTCGTTTCGTTTTTTTTTCACTTTTTATTTTGGAGGTGGAGTTGCAGCCGTCAAGGCTACGTGTGATACGCATAAATCATGGGCATGGACAAGTCATATATAAACATGTATATATATGTATATTTATATCATATATAGTGCACCTTAATCATTTGCACAAATCACTTAAAGAGACACTGACAAAGCCTCATTATGTTTATAAAATTTGTTTATAACTCGCATCATTGAGTGGCTATTTAAGCGTTACTAACTATTTTTTCTATTGATAATTTTAATCATATTTTAATTCAGAGGCTTTCACTTAAACAACAGTTGAAAATGTTCAAGCTTCAGTTAGTTCTGCAATGAAGATGAATCGCATTTGCTGTTACCTATGTCTACTCCTCCTGGGAGTTGGCTTACCCGTAGAAGCAGCTCGAGTAAGTCTATTCGGCAATCTATTGCTACAACTACTACAACTAGCTTCTCTTCAACTCCATAGCGCTCGCGTTATTCGTTTGAGTGGCATAGGTTCGAGTGCGTCAATAACTGGTCAATTGTCAAGAACTGGAGCTGCGTTATCGTCGGAAGTAACTATCTTAACACAGACTTACAACTTCTTGAACCTTTGCCTGAGATCTGGATCAAGTTTAGGTTAATTGTCTTAAGACCTTCCCAAAAATCAGATATGGTTCTCTTCGACTCAACTGTGGATATCTGCAAACTGATGAGCGGCGGCAATGTGGGTAACAAAGTCGTGACCTTTGTCTTTCAAAGCATGCTTAAGGATACCAATTTGGCCAAACAGTGTCCCATTAGCAAGGTATGTACACATATCATCCAAATGGGCCATCTACTCATGTCTCCTTTATAGGGCTTGTTGTACTTCCACAACATGATTGACTTGGACCACTTTCCGGCTTTTATGCCAGAGATGGATTTTACAGCTTATATGAAATTCTTTAGGCCCAATTTAACAGAAAACACTGAAGTCTTCTTAAACGGCAGTCTCATCGAAGTTAATCGACAACGTCAAAAGCTTTGGCATTGAATATATAGGTAAACATATGTGGAAACTTTGACAAATACAACCAAAAATTTTGATTTTTTATATCAATCATTGCTGATTCATTTGTTGAACTTGTTAATGCCTGACTTTATATAGTCACGCCTGTTAGAAGCAGCAGCATCATCATCATCATCATCATCATTGGCTGACCTCAAATGTCAAATTCTGTTGCCAGTGAAATCGCAATTGTGAGCTTTTGTTTTGTTTTGTTTAACAACCTTGGCCTTACATAGAATCGAAACAAAAACAAGCGTTTCATGACTTAACGTTAAATGCATATACAGATGTATGTATATTAATATATATATATATATATATATATATATATATATATATATATATATCTTCTTGCTCTATTCACGTAGATCTATCATAATTCTAACGGCAGTTTGTAAAAACAGCTGTTAATAAGCTTCACAGCTGCCGTCCCTAGACGCCGCCCATTCACGAAGTTAGCGGCTGACATTGCAATACTATAAATAAAACACAAATCTAACGACAAAACAAACTTTGTAAATACAATAGCAATAATGAAAAATAAATGTATAGCCGTTAGTACGGCCCGACCCCGTCTGGGGGACTGTTAGATTAATTGCACATTGATTACAGACAATTGCAATGTCAACGAGCCGCGTTAAACGGAAATACAAAACGCTAATCGCGCACAAAACGCCAGAAAAACGCTTGAAAGTCGCGCGCTCGCGTCAGACGCCTACAATTGAGGCAGCTAATACGGAAGTAGCTCAAGTTCGAGCGTTTGTATGCTAGCGCAAACGGTAAGGAAAGAGAGAGAGAGAAAGAGAAAGAGCGAGAGAACGCACAATTGATGACCCAGAAGAACTTAGGCATGAAGAAAGCTGTCGCTAACAATCACCCTTAAGCAAAAGTTTCTCACTGCAGTTTTCATGCTGACAGCATATACTCTGATTCAGCTGGGTCTGGTCTAATTCAGCCAAAGGCGAAGGTGAAACAGAATCAGTCACTCAGTCAATTTGTTAGTTGTTGTTGCTGCTATAGCTAATAGTCCAGCTGAACTTAATGCACTTTGCAAAGGCGTCTGTATAGGAAATCAGTATTATGTGAGCTGCTCACTGCTGTTTTCATGATTCGTAGCATGCTCTTTGAATTGACTGGGTAAGTCAATTGCAGTTATAGGCGAAGGCATTAGTATCAGTGTACGCGTTGTTGTTGTTGCTAATATTACACAATTTACAGTAATAGAGTGGAAGCTGATAGCACAGTGTTTGTCTTTCAGCATAATTGTGAACTTTGATGCTATTTATTTTTCATTTTGCACTTCGGATTGGTTTTTAGTTACTTAAGTGTTTCAATAAATACTTATAGGCTATGCGAAACGTGTGTACCACACGCCTCTTTAGGTTAGCAACTAAAATACAACATCATCGGGTGTTTGGAGGGAGCTAGGCAGAAGGATTGGAGATAGGAAAGTGAGAGGAGATAGGAGAGTGAGAGGGGATGAGGCGGGGGGAGCTGTTTGATTAGCCGGCGACAGACAAAAGTAGTTTGACCTCAAGAGTTACGTCTACTGCACGCTAGGCGGCACAACAGGCAACTCGATGCGAGGCGACACAGCTTGGCCAGCAATATAGGAACAAAATACTACAACTTGAGCTGGCGCTTGGCCAGCTGTTTCTCCTGTTTCCGTTCGCGCTGCTGTAGGAACTCGCGTCGTATATCGCTAGCACGCATCTCCAGTATGCAATTCAGCTTGTTGCGTATCTGCTCGGCCGTATGTACATCCGTAACGAAGTCATAGTGCTTGAAACGAATGTTGGATATGGTGGTGAAGAAGCCAAAACCTGAACTGGAGTACATCCACGGGTAACGCGGACTGGCAGGTGAATGGACAAAGCTCGAATTCGCATTGCCCGCGATCAACGTCGTAATGCTTGTCGTGCTGGGTGCCGAAGTGCAGCTAGTGGGCAGGCTGCTGGAAGAGTTGGATTTTAGCCAAATGCGCAGCAGCGCCTTTAGCTGCCGCTGCTCCACGATCTCGCAATGCGCCACCAGCTCTATGGGCGTCGACAGTGGCTTCCGTTGCGTCCAGAATTTGGTGTTCTTGTGCTGATCGATCTCGATGCGTTCCCCAGACACGGCCAGCGTAACGTCACACTTGAAGAAGCGCTTGTCGATGATGCTGACTCGATAGGTACGATGCATGGGTGCTTCCAGCATATCATTATGATTAAGCAGGCGCTGCTCATACTCCTTAATATGATCTAGCGGGCTGTCTCCTCCGCCGGCATCCGGCACATCGCCGTTTAAATTGAAATTTTGCAGCGCATTCAGTGCAGCATCCGCCATCGCCGCTTTATCCTCCTCGGATGTCATGGACTTTGTGCCCAGCTGATTGTGATAGTCAATGCGGGTGACCGGCGCCAAAGGTCGTCGCTCGGCCAATGTCAAATGCGAGAAACCAAACTTGGAGCACGGCTCACGATTGTCCAGTGGTGGAAAATCATCCATATCATCATTGTCTTCCGTCATATATAATGCATAGTGCTGCACAGATTGCAGCTGCACTGCATCTGGATACTGTAGGGTAGTCTTGTAGCAAACCAAGCCAATGACCTCTATGATCTTCGCCGTGGATAGTACACAGATTTTGAGCGGATAATTGCGCTCCGGCTCGGGCAGCATATTTACATAAACATTGATTCTCTTCGTGGGCATGCCCACCTGGGCGGTTCCATCAAAGCGCGCATACTCAATGAAACGATTTTGCGTCTGCTTCGGACTTCTAGCCATTTGCTCCGATAGCATACTTTTGACACCGCCATCGGAAAGATCATCGTCGCTGGCTAATTCCGTTCGATTAATTGCTGTTGCTCTTACTGCCGCTGCGGCTGATGTGGAGGGCTTATCAATAGGTTGTTCTATAAGCACTTTCCGTTTGAAGAAATCTTTACGATCCGGCGGTAACACTTCCTCATTGTAGTTAATGCTTTTAATACGCGCTGCTTTGCGCTTGGCTATGTCCAGTTTTTCGAGCTTCTGCGCTGTATTGGAGCGAAATCGATGGGCGCCCACTTCGGGATACATTTGTATGTCAAACGAATGCGTCGACATATCCAGATCCTCATCATCGCTCAGATCGAGTCCGGGATAGCACACGAAATCAACTTCGTGCAGCGGCGGATCCGCTATTCGCGGTGGCATCATATGCTGCAGTGGCCCAGTTCGTTGCATAGGCGTGGCAGTGTCTGGAGTTTTGGGAATTTGCGATTTACGCTGCTGCGCGGCTCGATGGCTGCGTCTATAAGCTTCCATAGCTGTGTTGGCAGTTTGAAATTTCCATAAATAACGCTTGGGCATATCGTCGCTGAGCATTACAGTCTCGCATATGCCCGTATCATCTGTGGAGATGAATGAGTTGCGTATGTGCGAGAGCAGCCAATGCTGGTTGGAATACGTGGCCATTGCACAAGGAAACACGTCTCTTACTACACAAAACAATACAAAATTCTTAGTTATCTCAGCATTTGTGGCTGCCAGGAGTTGTGTTCCTCTTAATTATTCTTCTTCTTTAGTTTTTGTTCCAAACCAACATTAATTACAATCTGTGGCCACCCCAAAAATGTAGCATTGCTACCACTGTTATTAACAGGGAAAACCCAGTTTGCTGGAAACTTGGCATATTTACATATTTTGATTTGAAAATATTATTTGATAAATGCAGTTTATTAAGAAATTGATATAATTTGGTTTCTATGTCAAATACTTGTTGGTTATTTCATTAAAATTACGAGAAAATTACATATCAAGCACCAAATAACACCCTACATCCTCTAACTAACAGAGCTATATGAGTCTAACAGAACAGCTGATCGGATCTGCTGCATCCCTCACAATATTTTTGGCAAGCATGTTACACTGCGAAGGTTGCGTTACATACGATCCATCGTACAACTGTAGACATTTTATAATTATTGATCAAATATACGATTTGATTTTATTATTATTTATTAACTTTTGAGTTTACATCAATTAAATTTTTTTTTAAATTTCCGAATTCAAATTTTATATGTATATGGGCTGTTATTACTATGACGATAGTCTGATGTTCGTGTTGATTATCCTCTTGACTATAAGTTATATTTATTTCTATGTAGATATATACACATTATATGTATTTATTAAACTAAAAAAGAAACTTATTTATACATAAAATCGTAATATTTGCTTTTATTGTACAATATGTCGATGTATCGGATTAAGTATCGATACTAATTCGATGTCATTCAATATGTACCATACCGATAGCACAATATATTGATATATAACTCACATCACTTCTACCATATGACTTTTCTACAAGACGCGAAAAAATTACTTATAAATTAGGAGATTCAAAGTAAGTTTTAGTACACTAGAACTCTATATGGATCTGTTATTTCCAATAAGTGCGATTCAGGACATAAAACCGCATCGGATCGATGTTGTAGCAGCGCCCAAAATGGCGGGCATCCCGGTGGAATTCGATGAGACAGTAGTCAATCAGTTTAGCTGCAAACGTTGCGACCGCGTAAGTGGCACTATCATACAGTAAACTTTGATATTATTTAAAATGTATATTCCTTGTGGCCCATCCGCAGACGTTTAAAAGTAAACGCGATCAAACGCTTCATCGCCAGGAGGTGCACAATCATAACAAAACTACCTACGAATGCAAACTGTGCGCCAAAAATTTCTGCAACAGCGGCAATCTGGATCGCCACATGAAGGTCCACAACGATGTGCGACCCTTTGTGTGTAACATATGCTCGAAGGCATTCGCACAGGCGGTCAATCTGCAGCGACACTATGCCGTACACAGCGGCGAGCGTCCATATCAGTGCACCTTCTGCAACAAATCCTTTACCCAGCAAAGCAATATGAAACGCCACAAAATGACACACACGGGCGAGAAGCCGTTTCGATGCCAGCGCTGTGGCCGCTACTTCTCGCAATTGGTAAACCTCAAAAAGCATAAGCTGGGCCATTTGAATGCCAAGCCGTATCAGTGCAACTATTGTGAGAAGGGCTTTACACAGCTCTCCAATTTTAAGCGTCATCTGCAATCACACATCAAGGAGGGCGTCGATGTCGATGTGCCTGGTGCAATACAACAGGCAACAGCTCTAGCACGGGAGCGTCTGGAGGCCGAGCAGAAACCGTAAGAGAAGAAAGTGATCTTTGAGTAGCCCAATCTAATCTAGTCCTCTTGCCTTTGCAGAAGTTTCTTTGAGTGCATGATATGTCGTGCCATTTTCGAAACATTTGGCGACTATGAGAAGCATGAGGGCAAGTGCCATGAAGATCATGAACGCTCCCAGCTAGAGGTTAATCAAATGTCGCATATGCATACGGATGACTATTTGCCGATGAAGTTTTCGGTGCCCGATCTGGATACGCACGAGATAATTATTGAGACTACACATTAATGCTAAACACCTACACTTTCACACACCCACACACTCACACAACATGAAACACAGACACACGTAATTATACATCCAATCAAGTGAGTGCAACCACATATATATATATAAATATATATATATGATAAATGCGACTGCTACGTTAATGAATATGCAGGCCAACATATTTCTTCTTCTTATAAATAAATGCAAGACATAAAAAATGGAAAAAAAAATGTTGCTTATAGCTTTAATTTAAATATTTTGCAATATCCAATTGCAATTGAAAGCAGTAAAACAAGAAACGTAACAAAAACCATGTGTGCAACTTTATTGACCCTAAAGATTAAGGACTTTAACTGCATGTTTATTGTGCGATTTTTATGGCTATATGATTTTCAGCATTTGATTTTGTCACGTGTCACGAGTAAAAGACTTCACCTTGGCTATAAAATTGAGCAAATGTTTATATAGTCGTATACTTCGATCCATTTGATTTTAATGCTACTACTAAATTAGCAAATTAAAAGAACTTAGTTCATAAGAAAAACATATATTAATGTTTACTGTATTGTATAAAGAATTCAATATTGATATGCTGCTTTTCAGTTTGTCCTTGAGTAAATCTAAAAACTAATTAAGAAAACGTACGTGTTTACGCAGGTTTCTTTATCAAATTGCAATCTTTATTGCTGAAGGATATCATTTGCCGTCTCGTTAATGTTGCTATGCGTTTTTTCTGCACCAACCTCAGGATAGGGTACGTAAATCAGACTAGTATGCCGTCACTTGCTTGGTTACCCTGTCGCCTCTGTGTGTGTTTGGTGTCTATAATATATCATGTACGCTCCCAGCCGATTGTTCATCTCTTTTTGCTGCTGTCGTCGTCGCCTGTGCGTCGTGTGTGCGTTCAATTGGCATTCAGTTGCTTAAATAGCCGCCTTAATGTCCGTCCAGACAAATGGGCAACATTAATTATATCAGAGCGTGACATTCGCTATAAATTTATTTATGAAACTGTTTGCTTGTCCAGTTGTCCGCAAAGAATTACGTTGCGTTCAAATGTCTCGACTTCGGTTTCAGTTTCACAGCTTAACAGTTTCACGGATTCACTTGCGTACAATTCTTTCAGGTTTTAAAATTCATTTCATTCAAAATCAATATGAATATCTCATGCAGCAATAATTTTCGCCCCTCGCCAGCAGGTGGCGCTGGGCGCTTTATCCACAACAAATATTTGTGCAAGCATATTGTGTGGCAAATGAGTGGAGTGGGTGACATGGCTCAGCCCAATGCCCGGCGCAGCATGATGCCTATACGCGTAATCAAAGTGAAATGCACAAACAGTTAGAGCAAGCTGCAGTGCGCCACGCGCTGACGTCATTGTTAATGCGTTGATGAGTTTTTGCGTGGCGCGCTTAATTAACGCTGCAGACCCAGCAACACAAAACAAAATGGCGGCGCACCAAAGCATTTTTAAAGCAGCGCCGGATAGAAGGCAACCGTTTTTTTAAATACTTCTGAACAAACTTGAGCGTGCGTTGGCAGACGCTTGTGGGCGTTAACAAAATATTGAAGAGCAGTTTTTCATAAATTGTTAGTTGATGAAATATTTTAAAGAAATATTTATATATATATTGGAACTGGTAGCCTTTAAAAAGATATATTTACCGCCAAACACCTATAAATTGAAGATACCTTTGATTATTCACAGCACAGGTGTTGACTGCACGCTCGCATTCAAGCCGCACACTTTCATTTCCCTGTTCAATTCAACTTTAGTTTGTAGTTCCGCTGTCACACACATAACCCAGTGCAGTTCATTCAATTAAAATCAGCTTGGAACCGCTGCGGTTTCAGTTAGCTGGTTTCTAGTTTAATTCCCCAACTTGGATGTGGCAAATTTGATACAGATTTTATACGCTGACATTAACGCTTATGTGTGCGGCCAATAGCCACGCCCTCGAACACTCACGCTCACGCTCGCTGTTTAAATTGATTTGGCCAAATGTTCTGTCATCATCATTATCGGCTCGACTGGAAAAGTGGCAATGTCATTTTGGAAAACTGGCAGTGGCAGTGGCACGCAACACGCAGACACTGAAATGGGACCCACAGAAGACAGACAGCACGAGGGCGGAAGGCAGGTCTGCGGCTGGGAACGTTGAAGCAGCTGTGGTTACTATCATCGTTTAGGTGTTAGTGGTTGCACATTATGGCTAACTTGTGTAGCTGCCAACAGCAGTTGGCCACATGTGCCTCAGAGTCAACTGGCTGAAGGAATCAAATGCAGTTGCTGCTGCTGCTGTTGCAGTTGCAGTTGCAGTTGCATTTGTCTTTCCGATTCTCGCTTTAATTTGCCATTAGAGCCACGCCAAATTGGCTTAGCCGCAACGTAATTGAGTTTTATGTTGCTCGTTGGCGTAAGCGAGCACAGAACTGAACAGAATTCGCATCGATAATTACGCATACGCACCATAGTCCGCCCAGTGCTAAAGGTAAACAGCGTAAAAATAAATGAAATTGCAATTGAATTGAATTGAAAATCAACTATATATTTAAATATTTATACACTCCAGAGTAAATATTATGCGATTTTCACACGGTCTGCTAAATTGACAGGCTGAATTTAAATAAACAAGCTGATTTTTTGTCCCATTTATAAACAGATACGCGCTTGTTTCATATGCATATATCTAGCTGTGTGTGTGTGTCTGTTTGTGTGTGTGCGCGCTATAATCCAAATGAAGTCATTGCCTAGCTGTCATAGAAACTGTTTTTATGCCCTGTTGCCAATATTGGGTATCATATCAATCGAAGGCAGCAGCCTCAGAAGAAAGCCAACAGGGCATAAGAGAAAAGTTTATTTGGATAGAGAGTTTTGATCACTGTGTTCTCATCTTACTACCCCTTGGATTATCAGAGTTATTTTATCTTAAGCTCATCAATTCCTCATATACTCTCATCTTATACTCAAAACTATTTTTAGGGTAACTACAAGTTGTTATTCTTTATATTAAATACTAATTACTTAAGATACTTTGCTTTGTCAGCTGTAAAACTAACATTTCGCCTTATTTCTTCCACTAAATTTACTTTTATAGGGTATCTACAGCCGGAGCTACGCCGCAGCTTTTGACTAAGCCATTCAAGTTTGTTACTATTTGATTATGTTTTGTATTTTTGGCATGCCAGTCACAGCAGATGTTGTGTCTATGAACGTGACACAGCCGTGTGTAGATAGGCCCATAAAAACGCCTACACACACATACACAGACACACACTAACACACAAATATATATGGAAATAGACGATGTTTGAATAGGAGCGGCATATGTAGATAGCTATGAAGCACGCAAGTCGCTTAAACTAACGCGTCGCCTTCGCAGACAGCCGGCTGAAACAAGGCAGGTTAATTTGGAAAATGGTCTCGAAGTCGGCCCGTTGACATTGTGGTCGTTGTAGCTGGCAACTTGTGTGAGTACCCACCTCAAAGAGTGTCAGGACAGCGACACGGAACAGTTGAGTTGTTAAGTGTCTGCTCGTTGAAAAACAAACACTGGCAACAATACGAACCGAAAGGTAATCAACTTGGCCTCTACGGTTACTGTTATAGATGTTTGGCTTTAGTTAACTTTTTAATGGAGCAAAATTATTGCCAAGGTAAGGCTGTTAGGGAAAAAGACACAGAGAGGGGGAGCGAGCAGCAGCTAGTTAGGTTAGCTAAACAAGGCAATCAGTGTGCATGAGATAATCGCATACAGTTTCCATTTCAGTTACAGTTTCTAGGGACATGGCTGCTGCCAAAAATTTGAGTTGGCCTTTTGTTCTTGTGCTTTGGCACAAAATGAAGATAAATGCTTGCCCAGAACGGTCACAAGTTATGCTTAGATAACTAATGGAAATGCCAGAGCGCCTAAATGCTTTGCACATTTCGAGTGGCTTAGGTCGGAGCTGCCGTTGACTTGGCCAGTTTAGTTTGACAGGTCTTTAAGGAGAGCTGACTGAGCTGGCCTGGCTTGGCCTGGTTACTGAGCGCATTTAAAGCAACGTCAAGCTGTTGCCCTCAATATATCCAAATTACAAATGCAAATCAAACTGTCCGATCTGGTTGGTTCCGGCTCTCGACTGGATTTGCCTTTGGCTTTCTACATACTGTTTATACTATATATATATATATATATATATATAGCTAAAGGGGCACGCCAGGATGTCAGAGTAATGTGCAAAATGTCAGACATGCATAAATTATAGGGTGTGTATCGTTGTTGTTGTTGCTGCTGCAGTTATTAAATGCATTTCATGTAGCAAATTTAAGCTTTAGCACGTTCTCTCGCTTGGCTCCAACTGCATTTTATTAAATTGAATGAACAAACAGCAACAGCAACAGCCAGTTAAATGCACTCTGAGTGCCTTTATAATGTCCTCGGCTGCACTTCAAAGGAACAATTCCCGTTTGTCCTTCATTGTTCGACTCGTTTGTTAAATTAGAGTTGGACGCGTGTTCCGTGCTTTGTTAAATCAGACTCGAGCTCAGAATTGTATTCCTAAGCAAAAGATACTTTACAAACTGCGGAATTTAGTCAAAGGAAGCAGTTTGCAAAGATTTGCAAATATTAAAATAATTTTTTTTAATCCACGTGGAGCCTGAAAATTTAAGAAAAGTTTTATTATAAATAAGTTATTATAAAAGTTTTATAAAAATATATATTTATAAATATTATATTATAAATATATATATATTATATTATATTATTATTTTTACTTTTAAGTGTATTATAATAAATATTATTGTCTCTTAAATTTTTATTTTTTTATATATAGCTAACAAATATTTTTAGTTTCAGCTTCCGATTTTAAACATTTTCATGGCTGACTTTATTAGTTGATTATTTCTGAGCTACAGTAAGAAATTAAAAACTACAAAATAAGATTTTCTTTATAACTATTCTAAGATCTTCGCAGATTCTATCAACAGCAGACGTTTCTATCGGCTGCTCGTTAATCATCCTTCCTACTTCTGCGTATAACCAGTTAAGAGCTATGTGCTTATCTGAAGGCAAAGACAGCCAAGTCAAACTGAGCCTTAATGCCATAAAACTGATTGGTGGACAGACCGAGCGCCGCTATCAGCCACAAATAATTTTTGTATATACAAATTGTGTCTATAAGAAAAAAGGGCCCCGCTAGAAAACCTTTATAACAATTTTAACATAAATGAATGGC